TAATATCTTAAAGAACAAAAAAGACATGTCGATGTTGAATAGATTTTAATGTATTAAAAGTCATTTAGAGATAGGAATTTCATATCAATTACAAAATTTTTATTTAATAAGAGATCTTCAAAAACTAAAGTAAGACTTCTTAGAGGAGGGTGTGGGTGTGGGATGTGGGTGTGAAGAAGAACAATATTCACACCCCATCCACACCCACGCAGGATAGTTAATTTCGACCAATCGTAAATCTCAAAATAATCGACGATCAATCGCGATTAATCGACTGTTTTTTCGTTGAAATTGCAATTAATCGTTAACATTTATGAAAATTGCGATAGATCATCAAAGCTTATGCGATATTGATGATATGGGCATTTTGCAGGTATCTACCTTCATCTCATCTAGAATTGCTGTTTTTCTTATGCGAAGTTCGAAATCGGTCATTTTTTTGTGACCCGATCCGATTCGAGGTCTGACCCGACCGAATCGAACACTAATGCGTGTAAGTATTGTATTCATTATTCAGACGCACCCACACTCACATCCTCAAGCGAAAACTGAGATAGAGTTACGCGTAATGACGGTAAAAAATCCCAGTTATGCGTAACTACGTCGTAATTTTTCGCAATTACGAGTTATAGTACAATCGTAGTTGCAACATAACTGCAACGCTGTGGTGAAAAAGCAGTCACATGGGTAATGCAATGAGTTTCATTATTTTCAAGAAATCAAAATCATGGAATGAAAGTGATGGAAAAATATTGAAAATACCGTCACGATTTTCATCTTCTCAGAGCAATCAAAGTCATGCAACTTAAGTGATGTAAAATTAACGAAAATAATGCAATTCATTGCATTTTTCGGAGCCATCAAAACCATGGAATAAAAATGATGAAAAAATAATGAAGATATTGTGATGATTTTGATATTTTTCGGACAAATAAAGGTCATGCAATGGAAACGATACAAGATAAATGAAACTAATACAATGATTTGGACGTTTTTGATAAAAATGAACGTGATGACATTCTATTGATGAAAATTGTCAAAATAACCATTTAAATGAAATTTTTTTTAATTTCCGAGAATATATGTTAAATACTCGAATATAGAATCAAAAAAGTGCTCTGAGCACGAAAGCTTGAATAAAGATAACAGTAATATTAGGTCAAAACAATAATTCAAAAAGAGGCGAAATATGAGTTCAAAAAAGTTTTACAGCATTGTGACAAAGGGTACGAAGTTCTTTGATACTTTGAATCATAGGCTCGTAAAATTGTATTAGGTTTTCGACATCACCTTTTTCTAGTCGAATGAATGTGTTTCTATGATTTAATCGAATGTCCGACAACTTGGTAGTGATATTACCAACATGTGTTTTAGCTTCTACCAGCTTTTCCGATAATTGAGCAATGTCTTTTTCAAGCTGTACAGCAGTAAGACCTTTGAAAAATTGAATAGTCGACGGAATAGTGCCAGCAAAGATGAGCGTAGTGCTAGCAACAATGGCAATTTCAAGAGGCAAGGCCCATGGCATAATACAGACAAGCACTACGGATCCTACGCAGATGGTACCGCCTACAATCGAGCGAAGATACCGCTTTACACCAGTTGATTTGTAATAGCTGTCGTTGTTAATCTGGTCATTAAGACTCATGATGTTCTTTCGAAGTGTATTACAACGGTCGATGAGTTGGTTGGGGTTCAACTCCTCAGTCATTCGACGAAGCTGGTTGAGGTCGAGAGAGCTTGATTTGCCTAGTTGTTCAAGAATGTATCCAGTTGAAGGTAAGGTTTCATCGCAATAAACAAGCACATCATTAACAAGCTCGATGTAATCAAGACGTAGTTTCATAAAAATATGCTTATGTTCGTCCTTGAGCTGTTCAATCTTACAAGATTCGAGTTCTTGAAATACACTTGAAAAGAAATATTTAATTGTTTTATATAATTCTCGAGGATCAACTTCCTTTAAGAGCCAAGAATACCACTTTGAGTTTTCAGTCATGATAATAAATGACGAATGACGCGTGTAATAGTCGTTTATTACTAGCTTTGCGATTTTACTTGACTTAAATATACACTCGCTTGGAACTTTTCAACTTAATAGTGGCGAAAACACTATGTTATTCGAATCGATGTAAGTAAGACATGACATAAGAAATACCATAAAGGTTTTATCTATATATGTTCGGTCTCTTTCTTTCTTTACATATGTATGTTGTCACTTATAGTTATATCTTTTTTTTCTTTCTGTCAAGGGTTGCCGTTATTTTTTCCTACTAGTTTCTTCCTTTATCCTCTTTTTTCTTCTGATGTAATAATAACTCATGTATTTTTCCAACAGTATAATTTTGGTTTATTCCACCTTTCATCTACCATCTGACATAAATATAAGGCGGTGGCCATCGATGAGAAGCTAGCACAACACCAACAATTACCACGAAACAAAAAAACATTCATTAGTCGACGAATTAGCCAATCACAAACACATTCCCAACACACACCACTATAGACGTCAATTCGATGGAAATGGCACATACATACCAACCTAGATCCACATGAAATTCATTTCACAGTGCCTTCAGTAGAAAACCAAATCCACTCGCATCCCTGATATATTGAGTACACATATCAAAATCAATGCTGCAGAATAGAACTTCCATTGCCAACAGAGAATGCATACACGATTCCAAACAGAATTAAATTCTCCACAAGATGATCTATTCAGTACAGAGAGAATCGATTTCGAACAGGGCCCTACGTCGAAAAAAAAGATCAGACTCACATCTCTCATCTGGTCAGTTCACATATTGAGATCGATTCTGGTGATCTCAATTTCCATTGCCAAGAGAGAATCAATACATCATTCGATAGGGAACTAAACTCTTTACAAGCTGATGTATTCGATATAGCGAGAATCCATATTCCACAGAGCCTTAAGTCGAAAAACAACATCCGACTTACATCTCCAATATGGTCAGTTCACATATTGGGATTGATTATGGTGAGCTCAATTTCCATTGCCAACACAGAATGGATACTTCATTCGATAGAGAATTTAATTCTCTACAAGATAATGCATTCACTATAGAGAGAATCGATTATGACCACGGCTCTAAGTCGCAAAGAAAACATGCGACATACATCTCCACTATGGTCAGTTCACATATTGTGATCGATTATGGTGAACTCAATTTCCATTGGCAAGAGAGAATGAATACATTGTTTGATAGAGAATTAAATTCTCTACAAGAGGATGTATTTCCTATAGAAAGAATCGATTTTGAATAGGGCCTAGAGTCCAAGAAAAAGATCCAACTAACATGTCTCATATGGCAAGTTCATATTTGCAGATCCATTGTAGTGAACTCAATTTCCATTGCCAAGAGAAAATCAATACATCATTCCATAGAAAATTTGATTCTCTACAAGAGGATGTATTCACTATAGAGAGACTCGATTTTGACAAGGGCTCTAAGTCGAAAAAAACATCCGACTTTTATCTCCAGTATGGTCAGTTCACATATTGTGGTCAATTATGGTGAACTCAGTTTCTATTGCCAAGAGAGAATGACTACATCATTCGATAGAGAATTTAATGGTCTACAATATGAAGTATTCACTATAGAGAGAATCGATTTTGAATCGGACCTTGAGTCCAAAAAAAGGATCCGACTCACATGTCTCATATGGTCAGTTCATATATTCAGATCTATTCTAGTGAACTCAATTTGCATTGCCAAGAGAGAACCAATAGATCATTCCATAGAGAATTTGATTCTCTACAAGAGGATGTATTCACTATAGAGAGAAGTCGATTTCGAATAGTGTCTGAGTCGAAAAAAAAAGATTCGGCTCACATGTCCCATGTGGGCGGCTCCAATACTCACATCGATTATGCTGAACTGAATTTCCATTGCCAAGAGAGAATGAATACATCATTCCATAGAGAATTAAATTCTCTACGAGATGATGTATTCACTATACAGAGTCGATTTTCAAATAGAGCCTGAGTCGAAAAAAGAGATCCGACTCACATGTCTGATATGGACAGTTCACATATTGTGGTCGATTATGGTGAACTGAATTTCCATTGCCAAGAGAGAATGAATACATCATTGGATAGAGAACTTAATGCTCTGCAAGATGATGTATTCACTATAGAGAGAATGAATTTTGAATAGGGCCTTGAGTCCAAAAGAAAGATCCGACTCACATGTCTCATATCGTCAGTTCACATATTCAGATCCATTCTGGTGAACTGAATTTCCATTGCCAAAAGAGAATCGATTTTGAATTTGGGCCTTGAGTCCAAGAAAAAAATCCGACTCACATGTCTCATGTGATCAGGTCACATATTCAGATCGATTCTAGTGAACTCAATTTCCATTGCCAAGAGAGAATCGACTTTTAACGAGGGTCTTGTAAGAGTAAAAAGACCCTACCGACAGATATAATTATGTTTACTTGATATATTGAGGATGATTTTGTGGAATGTAGTTTTCATTTGAAAAGCTCGAGTAATGTGTCACTGGACGGAGAATTTGAGGCGTTACGTTATGATGTCGGTGTTGTTTTTGTTCATGATCAATTGGCAATCTTTTTGTATAGTTTATTGATGTATGTATGGTTTTGTTTTTATATGCAGGATTGGTGTTCTTTGATTGTTTCGGAGGTTGTAAAATTATTGTTTTGCTTTGATGTAGTATGTGTGTGATGTAATCGAATTATGTGGATGGAGAGTTTATATATTTGGGCGTTTCGTTTTTACTGCCACATAAACATTATTTTACTTTTGTCACTATGAAAATGTTCTTATTCTATTTATGCGTTATATGGTGTTGTGTTGGTGGGTGCTCCTATCTCTGATGTAAGTTACAGTATTAATGTTTTCGATCGATTTGAATTTGTCTGTTTAGCACATTGTATTTAAAAGCTTCGAGGATTATAATTCGACAGTAGCAACACCTTCAAATCCGCCTGCTGAAGCGACCACAACTACGGCAATGTTGAATACACTGGCAACTACTAGTAAGTCAGGTTTCTTTCTGAAGGGTCTTTACGAATGGTTGTCCAGTGGATTCAACATTGTCGTAAGTGTCGTTTCATCAGGAGAATTTGTTGGTAGTTGCTGGTGTGGGATTAAATGTATTCGTAATGGTTGTGTTTTTAAAGTAAGTTCCATGTATGCTTTTGAAAGTTATAGTATTTTAATCATTTGTCTCATTTTAGCGTTCGTGGTGTTACCTGAAATCTTTGGCTGAACATCGTCGAAGAAGAGATATTAGAGCAGGTAAATGAAAATCTGTTTTTTTTTCATTTATATGACTGTGTTTTATAGGAAACAAAATTTGCATGATTGGAATTGGTAACAACCAATAAAATCCATCAATGTCGTCGTCACCAACCACGTCTCCCTCTTAATTATTTTTGTTATTTTTTTGTACATATTGTAAATATATTTTCATATGTTTTTCTTTTCGTCATGATAATTTATTGTTCTGCTCCAATAAACGTTTTCTTTACTCAATTAATAGTTTCTTTTTTTTCGTGTGTACATTATTGACGCTCTATTTCTCACTCATCTTGAAGAGCTAATCTATTGAAAGTAAAATTGATGAGTTATTGATTATTCGAAAGCCATGAAGTTTCTGAAGAAACTGATATATAGCAATGAACTTAGTCCGTCTAGTATTTGTATATTACTCACACAAGAATAGAAAACTAGCTATATACATTTTTTTTTCATATGTTCTTTTTCATCTGTCTGACTGAGGCATCTTATCAGTATTGAAAGTGTTCATTGATTATTTTCTTTATCTGTTCTGACTAATGATCACTTAATGTGTGTCATGTCTCTTTTTTCTTATTTCTCGAAGAAACGACGAATTTATCACATTATTAGAAAAGATATTTGTGCTTATTCGTTATTATGATCATTAGCAAGAAGGAAAAAAACATACTTAATCAAATCCCAGGCAAGCAAAAAACGAGACGACTGGCGACATGTCTAGTCCAAAACATCCACAACACCAGTCCTGACTAGTTTAAAATACTAAATGTTGCCGTCAGGACTGGTCAGTATTTCAAAAAGCGATATACTGACAGGGCTGGACTAGTCAGATATTGCCGAAATATATGCCAGGACTAGTCTAAGATATTCTGAGAACTAGTCAAGTCTAGTCCCAAATATTTGGTACCGACGTCAGGACTAGTCAGTTTTTTATGAAGTAGTGTAACGATGAAGCTGGATTAGTCTAATAATTTTGAAGTACATCTCTGGACTAGTCTAAGATATTCTGAGGACTAGTCAAGTCTAGTCCTAAATACTTGGTGTCGACATCTGGACCAGTCACTGTCTTATAAGATAATATAATGACGGGACTGGACTAGTCTAATAATTTTGAAATACATGTCTGGACTAGTCCGAGAGATCTTGAGCACCAGTCAAGGGTACCATGTTTTACTAGAAGTGACATGCTCTCTGAATCAGATTAGTCCGAAATTGAGTATGACATCCTACATTGATAGTTGGATATATCTTTAACACTTGTCAATTGTAGTCTAATTACATAAACTTAATGTAACATTGAGTTTGCACTAGTTGCTTGCTTATGAAAAGTCTTTGTCACCTTGAATTCAGTACGTTCTAGTACGTATTCATAACTTATGAATAACAAAGTTACAAACTTGCATTAGGAAAAACATGAGTGTTTAATTATTTAAGATTCTCCAATGGCTTAGTTCATTTATCGATTATCAATTTTCAAATTTCTTTTATTAAGAACCAAAATTTTTTGAATTTGGAATGCTAAAAATCATTAACTTCGATTTGCCTCTTTCTTTAACTGTTTGTATCATATAGGACAGAAATAAGAACAACAATCATTATTGTTATAATTTCTTTATCGTAAAATTACTGTTCATTAAATTATAAATTGTATGAATTTTCGTCAGCAATATTATTAATTTGATTAGTCATATTTATAAAGAAATAGTTTTTTTAATTTTATTGTATATAGAAAACCTGAGATTGACGATAGAATCGCTAGTTTATATAAGTGATTCTTGAATTCTTTTGTCGTGTATTCAAGCGACATCTGACCAAATATATATATATTTATATATCATTGGTTTCGTCATAGAAATAGCGCTCTCTTTAACTCTCTTCGTCTTCGTCCTCTTCTAAACATATATAAACAAGATTTCACAAAGACCTGTTTTCTTCAAGGCAATTAATATGAAGAATTTTTAAAACAAAACATACATGTGAATCATTTTTTTCTAACGGCTAGACATGCATTATTGAATACAAAGTCTCGCGTGTTATAACGGTTGTATTTGTCGTTAGAGAATGTGAATCGATTTCTTTTTATTTAACTTCTTTTTCTTTAAGATTTCTTACGAACGTTATGTCTTTTAAGGTGTTATATTGCTCTTTTTTCGTAGATTATCAATCAATCTAATTGTTCTAAAGATGCCAAACCATATTGAAATGGCTTCTTATTACTTGGTTCGATGGGAAGATGATATCAATCAATTTGCAGTTGTTAACACAAAATGATCAAAATCAGTATCTACATTAAAAATTGGTCTCACAACTTGCTTTGAAGGTTTTCAACGTGAACGTCGTCGAGGAACTATTCTTTTTCTTGGTAGGGTTTTGCATTTTTTATACTTACTCCCAAAAATCATTTTCTGATACTATCAAAACAACAGATTTTTTCACGAACTAGCAATTTAAAACATCAAATATCATCTATTCACATATTGATAAATGTTTTTATTTATTTTCTAGGTTCAAAAAAAAAAGATTGCTGTGCTTATGGACTCGATGTAGCTGGTGATGATGGATATGTGAATATGTATCAATGGAGTGTTCATCCTGGTCTTCGGGAAGAATCAGAATAAATTGCTCAAACAATTCGTCATGGTTCACTAATCGACGATCTTGTCTCGTTCTTTCCAGATTCTTGTTTTTCTTGGTTTTCAGGCAAGATTCTTTTTCTATTCCTTCTGTACAAGATTCTTGCCTGAAAAAACTGACCTTGCCTTTCTGACAAGATTCATGTAGACCGAATCTTGGCTGGCGAGGCAAGAAGTGCCGCTCCAAGCAAGATTCTTGCGTTCTTGCTTTCTTGTCTGATTCTTATTTTTCATGAATTCTTGTCTGATTCTTATTTTTCTTGATATTCTTGTCTGATTCTTTTTTCCTTGGATTCTTGTCTGATTCTTATATCTCTAGCGTCTTGCCTGATTCTTGTCATAGTAATAAAGTTTTTTATAGGTTATTATTACTATCTTTTTCTTACTATTTTATTACAAACTTTACGTAAAATATACAAAAAAACGCAACAAAATATACTCAATTTCATATGAATTTATAATTATAATCATCACCATCGAGTATATAATTATCAACAAGTGTATCATCATCTAATGTACAACCAGCATCTGCACCAGCAGCATTTGTATCATTCATAAGTATATCGTGAACAAGTGTATTATTATTAAAAACTGGATCATTAACAGCAACATCATCTTCAAAATTTTCATGAATTTGAGATAAATATTGATTTAATTCTTTCTAGAAAATAAAAACGAGCAGTGGAAAAATTTTTACTTTGAAATAACACAGTTAAAACGAGTCATTTACAATTTGTTCAGTCAGTAAAAGAGGGAAAGATAATTGAGTACAATACAGTTGATTTTTTTGTTTATCACGCTATCGTCGTTGTTTACGTGTATCGAATGATGGATCTAAAAAAGGATAACATGTGAGTCAAAAAGAAGAAACTAAGTAGATATCGAGATTACTTAATTTATTAACAGTATTGTCCAACAAAAAGTTGAACAAATTATCGGAATTTTCTTCGTCCATAGAAATATTATAAGTGCTGGAAAAGGTCTAAAATGAAATAAAGAAAAAGATATTGATTAGTAGAATATCGAAATACGTTCAATAAAACTGTAATTCTTTGGAAAAAATTCGCTATTGTATATTCCATTGTTATCTCTATATCCAATCGAAACAAAGAGCTATCAGATGACGTTCGAATATAATGACGATTCTAGGAAAGATGCATACTCAAAGTGACATTGTACTGTAGTTTTCACATCACTAAAATGAACAAATAATAATTCGAACGTTTCTTTTATATATTCGATCACACAAAGACATCACGTGCTTGTTTTTCTCGGAAAGCTGACAAGAATCTTTTTCTTTCTATTGAAAAGAATCTTCTCTGTACATCAAGAAATTTAAAATATCTTATATTTCTTTCCAGCCTCTGTTTTTTCATAATTTTCTGACCAGATGCTTGTGATCTTGAATAGCAGACAAGATTCTTTCCAAAAGGAAAGAAAAAGATTCTTGTCTGAACTTGAAATATATCTTGACTATCTTATGATTCTTGCCTGATTCTTTTATTTCTGATCGATCAGGCAAGACTCTGGTCATCTTTGAACTCCAGGCAAGATTCTTTTTACTTTCCTGTCGAAAAGAATCTTGTCTGAATACAGGAATCTTGTCTGAAAGTCAAGAAAAACAAGAATCTGGAAAGAAAGAGACAAGATCGTCGATTAGTGTACTTCTTTATTTAAACGAAGAATGTCAGCCATGTCTTCATCATCAACGAGTTCAACAACAACAGGAACAAAACAAAAGAAAAAAAAAGGTTAACAATAACAATCCAAACGATGATGAACCAAAAACAAAAGATAAATCGATGCCACCACCTCCATTTGCATCAACAATTACAATATGTGGTACATTTGATACATCTGATAAATGTGTTAGTCAAGGTCAACAATCAAATTCAAATAATAAACATCAATCATCTTCGCTTGTTACTGCAAATTGTTCAGCAACAAATTCAACAACATCATCATCAACAGATATTAATAGTTTACTTGAAGAAATCAAAGTTTTACGTGAAAAACTTTCATTTATGGACAGTTTGGTTGAAGAGAATAAAAAGTTACGTGAAAAACTTTTATCCGTGGAGGATGAAATGTTCTATTTACACAATACTTTAATAAGTAGGTGTTGATTTGCATTTGATCTTCTTTCTCAATATGTCCTGTGGTCCATAATACTTAATTGTTTATTTTAGGTCTACCGGATAAACATACGTACAATTATCTTAAATTGATAATTGATACATATGAACAAAGAAAAGCCGAATTAAATGAGAAATTGGTTGAGGTAAAATAAATAACGAATTATTTCTGAAAAAATTGTTTTTTTCAGTTAGGAGAAAAACTTCCTTGCTCAAAAATTGAATTGAAGGAGGCGAAAAGTACTAACTCGTCAAGAACTATCAACAATTTGGTTAAATGTTGCTACAAAGGTATTGATTTAAAAGGCCAATGTTACACAAAGTTGAAAGCAAGAAATTCTGAATTAATGAACAATATTTATAGTATATCTTATTTTTCTGTACTGGAAAAAATTATTTTAACTTGATTTCGTTGTTTATTTTTTATTAAATAGAATATGTTCAATATGTTCATGCTCCTAAAATCATTACACAAAGCGAATTTTCTGGTGCAATTTCGCTTCGCAGTCGACATTTGGTTGATCAAGTTAAAAATAAAGAAAATTCATCAACAGCTTCGACAAAGAAGCAGCACCAGAAATATTCGAAAAACAAAAACTGTACTGAACATCAACAACATTCATCGTCACCAAAGGAAGTTTTAATTGAAAATTTTGATTCTGAATGACAAATACAAATGATGCTTTTTATTCTGATTCAAGAACATTTTATTAGAATATAGTTTTATTTTAGAAATAGCATTTGTTCTGATTGATTAAACCTTTGATAAAAAATTAGAATTAGATGACAAATAAAAGTAGTGATCTAGACAAAAAGAATAAATTATTGTAAAAGTTGTTTTAATAGCAAATATTTTCTTGTTTCATTATTCTAATACTTAAAAAAATCATTTTTTAAACTAATCAAAAAATTAATTCTGATGCATTGTTAATAGTCCTCCTATTAACATCATCAAATTGTACTGCTTCATTGAAATCGGAGAAAAGAATTTTAACATGCTGTTTTGTAGATGCCTTCTCATGCTACGCATTATCGTCGCAGAAACAATCTCCTGCATAACAATTGTTGCAAAAGAACAATTTTACCATCAAATCAATCAAGGAAAAGTACGAAAGTTATCATTAGCTATCATTTTCTTGGTTTTAAACAGTATGTCTGTTAGGTACTACTGTTACAACAGATGCTCAAAAATTTTCCGACGAACAGAATGGTATGATCGGGTTTTCTACTGTCCTATTTACTTACGATATTAACTCAAAAACTTCAGTAGTCTTTTTTTAATTTTCTTTAAAATTTCTGAAAGTAATTACCAGTTCATATATTAACATGTTTTGTTTTTAGAATCAACACAATTGAATCCCGCAACAGTAATAATAAATAAGGATGATTTGAACGATACTTTCAAATCAATCAATGATTTATCATTTAGTAAGTATTTTCTTGGTACAGATATCACTAATAAAATATTTATAGCACAATGAAGCAGAACGATTCTTTTTTTTTTCTTTTTTAAAAGCAACTTTTTAAGATGTACAACTATCTAAATATCATATTTATTATGATATATTTTTCTAGAATATAATCGTCGTTTATTACTAACATCTCCTGATATTGCTGTTGCTGTTATGATTTATAAAGTGAGACGTTTACAAAACAATAAAGATATTGATTCACTTTGTAAATTATTTAATGCTTTATTCATGAATCTTTTCCCAAAGAGTATGAAAGCTGTTCAACAGCAGCTTCATCCAGGTTTTGATCTAAATAAATTTTACAAATTTTACAGAATATGTTCCAATTGTGGTGCATATGATTCAAATTCTATGTTTAAATGTATATCTTGCAATGATACATTAATCTTCAAATTTTATTTATGCTCTATCAAACAACAAATTCAACAATTATTATCAATGTTTGGTTTTTTCCCTAAATTAAAAGAAGAGAAACTTAATAATATTTATTTATTCTCAAGTACTAAATATGGAGAAATTCTCCGAGAAATAGAAGATAATGCGTTTACATTGATGATTAATCTTGATGGAGTAACTACTGGAAATAATAATTTATCATTATGGCCATTTACAGTGGCGGGCCGGACACCGCTCTTTTGGCGCCACCTGAGCTGGTAACCGTGTGGCAATTGCCACACGGTTACCAGCTCATATAGCGCTACTTGGCCCGCCAATGGCCATTTACTATGATATTTAATGAATTACATATTCCACAGCGTCGATATTTACAAAACATTCTTATAGCTGGTATCATACCAACCGGCAAAAAACCAACTAATCATGTTGTTCAAACATGTTTACAACTTATATATGAACAGTTAATTAAATTAGAATTAGGACAAGAATTTTTATAAATGAACTTGATCAACGAGCAGTTCTTCATTTTTACAATATAGCAAGTTGTTCAAATAAACCAGCTGAAGCATTACTGGCAAATGTCGTTCCATACAATGCTGAATACGGATGTCCAAAATGTTTTCATGCTGGTATATATTTTCATTGATATTTGTATTCTATTAATCACCTTACAAAATATCATCATCATCATCATTTATCAACCATGTACCGTCCACTGCTGGACGAAGGTCTCTCCCATGTTTTTCCACTCTTCTCTATTTTGAGCCTGAGTGCTCCAGCCGTTCCCTAAGAAAGAAAGAATTTCATCTCTCCATCTTGTTGTTTGTCTTCCGGGTTTTCTTTTCCCGTCTATTACTTGCCATTCTGTGGCAAGCTTGGTCCATCTATTGTCATGTTGTCTAGCAACATGACCTGCCCATCTCCATTTATTTCTTTTTATTGTTTTTGTTATATAGATCAGCTTTGTTTGTTTTCTTATCTG